CCGGGCCAGCCCGTAAGTGCCCTTTTTATGTCCATGAAGGCCTTTTGTTGAGCTGTTTCCCAGATCAGGGTTTCTTTCCTCCGCGCTTTGGTTGCTTCATATAGGGGTTTGGCCAGCACTACAAAGTTAGAGATCCAGATCCTGCAGAAACCGGCTGCCTCCAGGAACTCATGAATCTGTCTTCAGGTGTTAGGGGTCGGGATGGAACAGACAGCCTGTTTGTGCTCTGGTCCCAGTTGGCGTTGTCCTTGGGAGATATAGAACCCCAAATATTTGACTTTTTTGTGGCATATTTAGGCCTTTTTCTTAGATACCTTGTGTCCTTTTTCCCAAAGCAGGTTGAGGAGGAGTTCATTCCCTTTCATGCATTCTTGGTGGGTCCTTCTGGCCAGCAATAGGTCATCAACGTATTGGAGCAGAGTACATCCACTTTGTTTGACTGGGAAAGCCTCTAGGTCAGTAGCCAGGCTTGTGCCGAAAATGGTTGGGGAGTTCTTGAATTCCTGAGGTAACCGTGTCCAAGTTAACTGTTCTTGAGTCCTCTCGGGACTGTCCCATTGGAAAGCAAAAATGGGTTGACTCTGGGGAGCCAGTCTGATGCAGAAGAAGGCATCTTTAAGGTCCAGAAAGGTGAATAAGCAGTGTCCGCAGTGATTAAGCTCAGAAGCGTGTATGGATTAGGAATGGCAGCGTGACAGTTGCTTGGTTGACTGCCCTGAGGTCTTCTACCAGTTGTAAGTCGTTGGTCCCTGGCTTCTGAACTGGCAGTAGAGGTGTGTTCCAGGGAGACTGGCATGGCCTTAAAAGTCCATATTTGAGGAGTATGTTCAGATGTTTTTGTGTCCCCTGTTGAGCCCATCGAGGGGGTATGATATTGCTTTTGTCGACTGGCATTGTCCCTGGTTTCAATTCCACCAGGACCAGGGGAATGTCCTTGGCCAGACCTGGTGGGTTGTGTTCAGCCCAGACTCTGGTCACCTGGACAGGAAGCTCCAGTAATGTTGGTGTCATGGCCTCTAGACTAAACAACTGCCATTCTTCCCCCTGGGGAATGGTGAGGGACAGAATCCGAGCGTCGGAATCCCCCGGAATTAGGGACATTTCTCTGATCTTCGAGAAAGTTATTTGGGCCTGTACTTGAAGGGTATTGGGCAGTCAGGCAGGTAGAGAAACTTATGAATGAGCAGTCAGCCTAGTCCCATAGGGATATGGTAGACCTGGATCTGAGGGCAGGATAGCTGGCTTGGGGGCCACATGTAGCGGTCACCTTTGCACGTGAGTCTGACCTGGGACCAACATTTCTCTGGCCAGGAGAATTTGGCAGTGTTTTTCCATGCAGGCCTTTAGCCAGGAAGGTGGAGAATGAACTAAGTCTTCCCAGGAATCAATATAGGGATATTGGTCAGGGTGGCCCTGAGGGTCATTTCCATAGTGGCCAGTAATGACCCTTCTGGCTTGACAGATAAAGGAAAGGTCAAAGGACCCCTCAGAGGGCCATCCTACATTGACAGATGGCCAGTCCACCCCACAGAATGCCCTGAGTTTATCAGGAGATAGTTTGACACCATAATCAACAGAAAAGCCCTTTTAAAAATTCCTCAGCATACAAGGCAAAGGGAGTTTGTTTGCTAGGTGTTCCTCCCATGTTTTCCACTCGTGATCAATGTTGCAACAGACACTCAGTTCCAATAATTTCATCCATCTCCGGCCGCTCACCTTGTGGTAATATTTCAGGCACCTCTTGGCCTTGGTGAAACGGTATAAACCCCAGTCAGGACCTCTCGCAAGAGTCACCCTTAGCTGTGTGAGGTTCGCCACAGAAGTGTGGATCGGGACTCCGCACTCAATTCATCACTCAAATACAACCACATGCATTCATTCACCACCCTAAAACTACTGAAATTCTGACCTGAGAATGTGGTTTCCTCTGTGGAATGGAGTTCACCACCCAAAAATTACTGAAATCCTGACCTGACCAAGGAATGTGGTTTCCTCCGTGAAACAGAGTACTAAGACATTCTCCCCTTTTGGAGGTGATCAGGCTCTCCTCCTACTCTCACAGGAGTAGAAACCCAGTGGGACCTGGGTCCTTACCTAGCCTGACGGGCCAAACTCCCTGGTCTGGTTCCTACATCTCTTTGGGTTCCGTTGTGCTCAGGGTTTGACCTCTGTGTTCACCCAGTGAGGCCTTTCCCACTCATGGAGAACTCTCCGTTGGTGCCTGAATGCAGTCTGTGTCATTGTGTGTCCTGGGGGCCAAGACCAATAGACATGGGAGGTGGTCAAGCTGCCGTCTCCGCCATTCCCGGGCAATCCCTCAGGAAGTGTTACAGCGTGTTACATCCATGTTACAGCGAACTCTCAAGGAGAGGCAGGACACCGAGGCTTGTAGCAGGAAGCAGAGTTCATTCCCGGGCAATCCCTCAGGAAGTGTTACAGCGTGTTACATACATGTTACAGCGAACTCTCAAGGAGAGGCAGGACACCGAGGCTTGTAGCAGGAAGCAGAGTTTATTGATGCCGACAAAAGCTCAGCGGACTCATGTCTCAAAGGCTGAGCCCCAAATGCAGCGGTGGTTGTCTCTTTTATATTGTCACACTTCTGGTTTTTACAGTGAGGTAAGGGGTGACATATGGTTATAACTTCCGTTTAGGTGGGAAAAGTTCTGGGTCCATTAGTTGTTACAACAGGGTGGGAAAGTCAAATGTTGCATCAGCTGTTGCAGTGAGCAGGGCACAGCTGGGCATATATGATAGCAGGGTGGGGCGCAGTCAGGAGAGCAGTCAGGAGAACATGGGTGCCTCAGGACCTCCATTGTATATTCACAAGAATGATTTAGAGCAGGGAAGGAAATCGAAGTATAAGTCTGGAGGAGAGGAGTGGGAACTCTTGCAAGAAAAGCATAATCCTTCTCTAAAAAGAAAAGAGGCTGGCCAGTTAGCTCATTTGGTTAGAGCATGGTGCTGTTAACACCAAGGTCCAGAGTTCAATCCCTATATTGTCCAGCTGACGAAAAAAAAAAAAAGAAGAAGGAAAAAAGAATTAAGGCTCTGGGGGAAGAGCTGCTAACCCTGTAGTGCTGGCACACAGGTAAAAACCTGTTGCAGCTAGAGGAACTAAAAAGGAAAGAAAAAAATCCACTAACTTTTGGGAGTAGAGTAGGAAATTATTTTGGTCCTGGACTGTAAGAGGTCTCCTATCTTTGGGGCAGGGGCAGAATCACTTAGAAAGCTCTGCCCTGATACCAGGCATTCTTGGCTTGACCAGGAAAACAGAGCAACTTTCTCCCCCACTCCCCAACCAGGTTAGAAAGCACAGCAACCAGTCACAGTTGTTTACCACTTGGAGAGAGGCAAGATCAGGGTGAGAGACCCTTACTTAGGTGCATGTTCACAGAGAATACCTATATCTGAGGATAATACAGGATCATTAAGGAAAAAACTTTTGGCAAACTATCCCTATGCACCCCCTAAAAGAGAAAAGTTAAATAAATTTGAAGAATGTAGTAAACTGAAGATAACCATGGCAGCAACAAAACCCAAACCTAGCTCAATTCCTGATTGGATTGACTCAACCCCAAAATTAATAGTGGAAGAAGAGCCATGCCCTTTTCTGGGCATAAAGGTTATTCACCTCAGTCTTTATTGTCCTACACATGATATTCAACATTCAATTAAAAATTTTGAGACCAAAAAAAAAAGAAACAAACCCATCACTATCACTGCCATCACCACCACTACCAAAATATTGCTGAGAGAAGAAATGAACAGAAAAATACTCAGAAATGATTCAAAATATTGGGACTTTCAGAGAGAGAATTTAAAGCAACTATGATTATCATGCTACAGGCTTTTGTGGGTAGGTGTGTTACCTAGTCAACAGGCTCGTCTGCCCTCTTACATTAAAGAAATGACCCAAAAGTCCAAATGTTGGTACAAGAATTGGAAGCTTTATTCAGATAACTAGCATGCTTAGATTGGTAGATTTAGTACTGAGGTCCAAAGTCTGTATTTTGGACAATTAACCTACTTTCTGTTCCTCCATATAAGAAATATAATGAAAAGTTTAGGGCACCTTTTTTTATTGGATCACAGTTCATGAAACTAAATTCCTTCATAATATCTAAAACTTAGTATGTCAGGATCTAAGACTTCTGTGCTGAGTAACTCTGGAGTTGTTATCAGGCCTGGATTGTCAAGAACATAAGCTCTCATTTTCTCAGAGTAGGATCTTAGATGTTAAAGGATTTTATGATCACAAAAATGGAGGTTCTAAAAGTTGATATAGACATAGAAATCAGGAATATAAACACATATTAGTAATTACAATGCTAAAGCAAACACTTAAAGGAAATTAAATGTTCTGTAATAGAATTGGAGTATGTGGGTATCCAATGGAATATTCCTATAATTCACATCCATGGAGTTAAAGTTTATATAGCGATAACTCATATTATTTGTCAACATGTAAAAATGCTTGTGACATAATATGGTAAAATCAGAAAACACATTTCCTGTACACTATGAATTTCACTAAAACATTTATGAGCAAGATGAAAGTTCATAAAAACTACTTATATTTATGAAGTATATTATAGTAGTCAAAATGCAGGTAATTTTTCCTGCTCTATTTTTTATACTTTCAGAAATTTTGTTATATAGCATTTGTGGTTGAAATGAAATTAACCACTTTTTTTAAAAAGTGAAGTCTGAATTTTGAAATCTCATCATGGTTTCTTAGTCAGCAATCCCAGAAAGCTGTAGGCAGACTCTTACTCTTTGGCTCCTGCTGGAGGCTGCGCTTGTGTGAAAATTGAACCAATAGGGAAATTTATTCTAGTTAATACCTCTACAAAACCTCCATATTCAGCCCACTTTGCCTTTTAACTCTTTTTATTTCTCTCATAGTCAGGAGACTGGCTCTGCTTTTTTGGTTGTGATTGAGCAGTCCTGTCTGCAATGTTATATCTGGAATTGTCTCCTCCCGTCTCTCTCTCTAGGAAGTGCATTTTCAGCTGAGCACCTCAAGCTTCAACTCCAGAAGGAATCCCTAAATGAATTGAGAAAGGAATGCACTGCAAAAAGGTAAATGCAATACTGAGAATAATTGCTGTCAGTGCTGAGTTTACTGTAAGGATGGGGGAAGGTAGCATTCTTTAAAAATTGCTGGTATTAATTTATACTCCGTACACCTCAGTGCCAGATTAATTTATTCAACAAGTATTTATTAAACACCCACTATGTGTCATGCACTGTGCTAGAGGTCAGTTATGATAGCTAGCTTGTATGTAGTCACAAGCAGAAACATGAACACTATTCTTATAGTGTCCCAGGCCATAGCATCATGGCTTAATGTTTGAATCATCTTCTCCTGTCTTCTATATGCAGTGTAGCTGATAGTTTTTTTATTCAATAATTTTCGCAGATTTACTCCTGCTTCTTGTTAGCTCATTCAGATTACCTCAACAGTTCCTACATATCTTACTAATGTCAGTCTCTCCATCTTTCATGTCCATCCTCCATGTTGCTATCAGACCTCTCCTCTTAAAATACCATTTTTACCATATTTTTTCTCTTCCTAATATGGTGATTTATTTGCCTAACTTTCAAAATAGCCTTGACTCAATTAACACTATATAATAGTAGTTAATTTTAGTCTCTCCCTCCTTGACATTTATTTGACAAATGCTAATAGTGTTTCTCCTTATTTTTTTCAACACTTGCTAATTCATCACAACTTCTTTTCTTTTGCTTATCTTCAGTCACTTTTCCTGGAAAGTCTTCCTGTCCTGCATTTTTCTTCAAACCTTAGCAATTGAGGATTCAAGAATGTTAACCCGGAAAGAAGCACAGAGATCATCTATTTCAATCCTCTCAATTTGCAGATAGGAAAGCAAGGCTCTAGGAAATTACTATTTGTTCACCTCACTAGCAAAGCCAGGACTAGATCTGATTGTCTTTAGTGCTGTTTTAGATGGGAAAAACCAAAGTGTTTTTCCTATTCTCACATATCACTCAAAACAATACTTTGACACCAGATTTTCCAGCAGACACCAGCTGGATGTCCTATAATCTGATTCAATTCTGACACTATCTACCTGGAGATAGCATCAGATCCCACAGGTTAAGGGCTCAGTTGCACGAGAACACACCCTTCCCCCCACCCACCAGATGCCAGTTGCAAGCCCCAGGTTGTTACCTGTGCTTCTGACTGATCTGCTATAAATTGGGGTTCCCATAACCCTTTCTTGAGTTTGATTAATTTCCTAAATCAGCTCACAGAACTCAGTGAAACACTTGTGTTTACTGGTTTATTATAAAGGATATTACAAAGGATGCAGGCGAACAGCCAGGTGGAAGAGATGTACAGGGCAAGGTCTGGAAGAGGGAGCATGGAGCTTCCGTGTCCTCTGGGCACGCTGTCCTCCAGGCACCTCCACAACCTGGAAGCTCATCAAATATTGTTACTTAAGAGTTTTTATAGCTCTTGATCTCTAACCCACCTCTGACCCGTTTCCCAGAAGTTGATAGGTGGAGCTGAAAGTTCCAACTCTTTAATCACTTGGTCTTTCTAGTAACAGCTCCATCTTAAAGTTGTCTAGGGGCTCCACCCTAAGTCACCTCATTAGCATAAACTCTGTTGTGATTAAAAGGAACTCATTATGAACAACAAAAGACACTCCTATCACCTGGGGAATTCCAAGGGTTTTAGATACTCTGTGATAGGATCTGGGGATAAAGACCATATATGTATTTCATATTATATCAAAAGGGCTCTTTGCATTATATCATAACTTTCCCATTCCACTTTGACCTAAGGTTTCACCTAAATTCCTTTCATTCTTAAATTGTTAACACAGTTAAGCAGGCAATTTATTCTATGGGTATTTCTTCTCTGTTGGTCATATTTCTTAAGTTGCTCAAGAGAAGAGCTGAGTCATCTTACAACTTTTTGCTTATTCTTTTTTACTTTATTATTTTTCTAACATTGTAACAGGTTGTTTTTTGAAGTAGTCGTAACATGTAGTTGTGAGTGAAAGAATACTTTTTTTTGAGGAAATACCATATGGATCTTTCCTAAAATCAAATTGGCCTCATTAAATATTGGTTATGAAAACTTGGTCAGCTTACTCAGCCTCTCTAAATCTTGTTTCCTTGTTTATAAATGGGTATAATAATATCAACCTATTAGAGTTGTAATAATTAAATAAAGCCACTTGTAATGCTCCTGGCATTTAGTAGTAGGTGCTCAGTGAATGATTATTTGTACACTTTACCTCTCTTAGCATGGTGCTGGGCACACCCAACAGCCCTCAGTATATAGTTAGCTTGATTGATAGTATTTAGAGATAGGTCAAGACTCATGGTAGCTATTATGCTTACCCCTACTTCTGAGTTTCTGTGGCCTATTACAAACCATTTAATCTTCCTCTGCATTAATTATGTGGAAATAAGTGTTAGAGAGCATGCAAGCAATTTTTTTTATTATTTAATAAATATACTTTCCTTTCTTCATTAGAGAACTCTTTCTGAAGACTAATGCTCAGTTGACAATTCGTTGCAGGCAGTTACTCTCTGAGCTTTCCTACATTTACCCTATTGATTTGGTAAGTTTCAGATTTTTTGAAAAGGTTTTTCTTCCTGAACAGATGATTTCTGTTTGAAATTTCCCCTCAATGAAAAAACTCATTGTTCTGTTCTTATTTGTATGCTCTGTCATGATTCATTCAGGAGCTAATATTTATTTAAAAAGTAGATTTAGATTTAGTTGGCCTTAGATTCCACTATATGTTTTTTTTATATCAGTTTGGTGGTAGGGTGCAGTCATCTGAAAGAATGCCAAATTATTTCTAGTTTCTTTAGAATCTTTTTACTCAACCAAATTATCCACTACCACCATTTCTGACACATGCACGTAGATACATATGAACTGCTTAAAAAATATAACTGCTAATTAATTTATATTAGTGTTACTTAAGGTAATCCTGGGATAATTGTCAAGATGTTAAGTTTTTGAACCTAGTTTCTTAGAATAGTTGCAAAAAATAAAACTTCAATAAAATTGATTAGAATTCTTTTTTAGAGAACTGAGTCTGCTGAATTTGATAGTTTTGTTTTTAAGGAAAAGCAATTTAAAAGATTAATTTTCAAAGAAGAAAGCTAATAGAATTTGAGTTTGCCCACAGAATCTTGTGAAATCATTTCTAGAAATGAATTAACCAAAGGATATTTTTATGATGATAATTTTACATGGCCCTTTCTTGGACATGTTTTAAATGTTTTTATTATAGAAAATTCAAGTATATATAAATGTAGGGAGAGTGGTATAATGAATCATCATGTACCCATCATCCAGCTTCTATATGATAATATTTCAAGTTTAGGACAATATTGTTTTTGAATCAACACTGACCTGCTGAATTCTTTGAGATTTGACTTAAAGTTTTTTTTGCCTTATATATAAATAGAATTAAATTCATTCTTTGATTAAATTCACAGAATGAGCATAAGGATTACTTTGTATGCAGTGTCAAGTTGCCTAATTCTGAGGACTTCCAAGGTATTTTATTACTTTTTTACTTCTAAAGATTTGGTGTATATAGTATATGTGAATAGAGTTGTCTTGAAATGTTGGTTGCCTAGCACTTTATGCAGAGGCATTTTGGACCTTCTAACCTTTCTCAACTGCAGTTACATACAGTCAAATTCCCTGATGGGAAACATAACAGAATATTTGGTCTAATCATGAAAAAACAATTATTTAACCTTGTATTTGAAATTTAAAAGAAAAAAGTTTTTAAATGGACTTAAGCAAATCAGGTAGTAGGGTTCTTAAGAGTACTAATAATTTCCCTATCCTTTTGGTTTGATCTTCATGAAAAATTTGTGTGTAGTTGGGAGCATAGGAACAGCAAAAATTAATCTGTTCCGTTGTTTTTTAGGAGGTCATATTCCTGCAGAGCCGAAAAGTATTTGAAAATTTAATTTTGTGACATTCCCACTACCACGGGTCTAATGCATTGTGTTATCATTTCTCTCCTCTTTCAATTTAAAAAATTACATTAAAGGTATTACAGAATGTGATTCAAAGCAATTCCTGTATTTTAAAATCTTTTATTTTTGCTAATCTCTTAACTTGTTTTCTTTGGCATATCAGTAAAGAGATTATTTTTACTGTTAGCAAAGTGGGTTCTTTTCCCTCAGCCTGAACAATGCTTTGAGGCCTACTAAATATCTGTATAGATTATTCCCAAAGCTAGCATATTACCTATTTGGGAAGATATTATTCAAGAAGAGAGCATTACTAGTTTTGATCAGGACTTTCTTCCATTTTCTATTGTTATTCATGGTCCTTTAACATTTAAGACTATTTTAATTAATTACCCCCGTTGGCCCATAGTTGGGACATAATATAAGGAGAGTGATAAACCAGGAGATGGACAACCTCTGTTCAAGTCCTGGTTTTCCTTCTATAAACGATGCAATTTGGAGCAACTTGAGTTGATTTTCTAATCAATAGTATGAATATTAATTTACCTGTGTACATGATTGTTGTGAAATTGAGATATACCAGTATCTGTAAAAGCATGAGATTTTGCCTTGTCTTTCATCTTCATGAAAGCAAACCAAAGAAACCTGTAAGGAAAGTGGTATTCAGTGACTTGCTCAAGACCATGAAGCTTGGTAATGATCTAGCTGAGATTTGTCTGGTTTCCATTGTATGATGCTCCCTCAAATCTCTAAGTCACAAAAATGTGCTTTGGTGTTAATTTTAGGCAAAGTTGTGGTGTCATGAAGCCAAAGGCTCATCATTTACCTCATTCATTCACTTAATAGCATATTGAGTACTTGAGCCCTAAGCCAGGTTCCTGGGATACAGAGCATTCACTCAGTGAAAAGATATTTATTGAACACCTATATGCCAGGAATTGTACTGAGTTTTGAAAATATAATGATGAATAAAGCAAAACATGTTCTGTCCTTTTATGGAGAGTATAGCCTATTGAGGATATCAGCCAATTAACAAGAAAATAAGTAATTAGCAAGTATTTAATAAGAGAATAGGCTATCATAGAGAATTGGGAATGTACTTTAGGTAAAGCAGTCAGAGAAGACCTCTCTGAGGAGAAACATTTAACAGAAAATTTGAAGGCTGAAAGGAGCCAACTATGCTACATCTGGGGAAGAGCATTCCTTGGAGAGGGGACAGCAAGTATAAAAGTCATGCTAGAGGAGGAATGGGCATGGCATATCTGAAAAAATTATGGTTGGGGGTATGGGAGAAAAGACCTATATTTTGGATAAATTACTTGAACTTAATTTCTTACCTGTAAAATGAGCGAATATCTATATCTCTAATTCCTTGTGATGATTGAATGAGATAACATTTGAAAGGGCTTTTCATATGTAGGAGGTATTCAAGAAATGTAAATGGAATTAGTTACAAAGGAAAGAGGAAGGAAATGAAGGACAGGAGAGAAAGAAGGTAAGACAGAAAAGATCAGACCAGACCTGAGTGGCATGGTGAGCAAGGGAAGAGTTACACTCGAGGAGGTAGGAGAGGGCAGCCAGGACCTTGAGGCCACTGTAAAGAGTTTATATTTTATTCTCACAGAAGTGGGAAATGCCTGAAGGGCTTCAATGAGGGGGATGGCACAAGCTGAGTTATGCTTTTAGAAGCCATTCTGGCTGATAAATACAGACTGATTTGAAAGGAGACAGTAAAGGAAGCAGTGGCATTGGTAGTGGTGATCTGTTACTTCAGTCCACTCTGGGATATTTCTTGATTCTATTTTTGTTTTCCTTGAAGTGTCTTGTTTCCTAGTTTTTCATAACTTTTAAACTTATCTACACTTAGATGCCCAGCAAACTGAATACATTCTCCCTACCCTTTAAAAAATTTAGTGTAGTTGCTGAAAACTGAAATGGGAGATAAAATGAAATACATATTTAATTTTACTCAGGTCCTGTTTACTCCCTATGGCCTCTGGGAATCAGAAGTTTTAAGAAGCACGTATGGTAGTTTTGGACATTAAAAATCTCATGTTAGCATTCTGCAAAGCACTTCCATGTACTAAATGTTTTGAATGCCCTGTGTATGTTGTCTATAGTGCCTGGTGCTGAGAGTATGTATAGATGATTAAAACATTGATCCTACCTTGCAGTCCAGTTGAGGGCATCAGATTTGTAATCATGCCCATCAAGAAAGATTTGTTGAATTCGTACTCTGTGTCAGGCACTTAGAAGTTTATACAAGGTGCAGGGGACTCAACAAAGTGGGAATAATCAGTTCTATAAGGAAGGGATCAAGAAAACCTTTATAGAGAAGGTGATGCCTGTGCTGTCTTAAAGATGAAATGGTGTTCCTCTGTTGGAAAAAGGGTAGGAGGACATTTTAGGTTGGGTGAGTAAAAATATGGAATATGGAACATCATGCATGATGTTATCACATTTATTACTTTAATTCTTAAAGCTGTGAGAATTAATTCCTTCTGTGAGGAAAGGAATTACTCCCAATTTTTTTAAAGACAAGAAAATTGAGGCTGAGAGATTAGTTAATTTTTCCAAGGACTCATACTAGCCAGTGATAAAGTTAACGTTATCCCTGGTCTGCCTGATTCTAAGGTCCATATTCCTGTCATGTTGCAGTTTTCTTCCTTGCTTTGAATAATAACCTCTTCTAAACCTCTGACAACTTTTTAGTATTCTATAACAGCTGCATTCTGGGAGAGGCTCTAGTGAAGAAATTGCAAACTGGTTATGCTATGATATTCATGAGACTTCTGGGATAGACTTTACAATGCATGGGTTGATAGTTGTTTGGGAAACTTCTTAGTGGCACAACATTTATTGTGCTTTTCTAAATGGGTAAGTTACTGTTAGAGTATGCCAAAGAGACCTGGACACAATGGGAGAAAATTGTCCAGTGAAGGGTGATCATCTGAGTTCCACTGACTGAGAAATTTAGCTTTTTTAAAAAAATGTTTGTGCATGTGTGTTTTTAAGTAATCCGTGACACGAGAGCCTTTTGTGGTAATGAGACCCAGATTTCCTTCTGTGTCTGTATCCCTTTATGCAGGCATGATTTCTTGGAAAGGAGAGTCCATATGTCAAACAGTGTCTCATTGAAAACATGGAATGATTCCATAGATGCTGTGGCAGTGATTAGAGTCTTAAATATTTTGTCCTGTCTGGATCAGTGGGTGCTTGGTTCCTTAACAAATCAGCTGCCTCAGTGATTGGGAGGCAGGATGGTAAGAGCTTTTAGATCACTTATTGTACTTGGATGCATTTGAATATTAATAGTTTGTCCGACATATAAATCAAAGGAGCATTTGAATTAATTTATAATGTTGTCACGGCCATTGTGTGTTTGTGAAATTTTTGCCTAAAAATTACAGAAAATCTGCAGCCTTGAGTGGCTACGTACTTTTAAAAAACAAGTCAGAAATATTTATGAGGAAACTGCAGGTTTTTATTTTGTTTTAAGACCCTTTAAACATTGTTTGAATTAGGATCTTTTTCACAAACCTGAGTCATACAGTTCATTCCTGTTCTTCCCTGGACCTTCCACTTCCTCGCCAGCTTCTTCTGACCAACAAAACTATCATCCGTGACCTTTTTAACCCCCAGAGCAGCATAAGGAACACAAGCTTCTGCTCTGCATTAGGTGTTAGGGACGTCATTAGTACTTTCTGGAAAAGTACACCCCAGAGAGCTGGGTTTTGGCTTTGGCAGGTAAAAAGTCTTTCAGATCTTGGAATGCGTGAAACCTTAAACCTTTTGGTTTTTTAACTAAAGTGATTGGCAACAGAATGTGACATCTGAGGTTGCATGGCTTGCAATAGCCATAATTAACCACATGAGCTCACATTTTCCCACTGGAGGTTCAGTGGTCTTGGGTGATGAAAGTGACTTTCCTACCAGGAGGAGGTTTTCCTTTTGAGGGTGTTGGAATACCCTTGGGCCCTGTAATGCTTCACTCGTGGTCCTTTTAAAATGCTTTTTAATATAAAGCTTGAGTATTGGAAACCCAACACCACAGTGTTTAACAATAGTAAGACTGTGATGAAGCACTATGGCCTGGAATGGGAAACAACCTAGGGTTTTTAATAAGTGGAGTGGGGAGTCTTGTGATGGCAAGAATGGTGAGTGTGAACACCTTTATCAAAGCGGATTTACAGTATTATTCAATTTTCAGGGTTTGGTATTTCTTTTTGGTTTTTGGTTTCTTTGTATATACTTCTCTCAGAGATGCCTTTTTATCTTTAAATTTAAGGAAAATTGTTTTGTTCATTTGTGGGAGGTGATGTTAGAAGATCAAGTTTTTGTTCTTTTAATAGAGGTATCCATGTAGTCTCAAAATATGCAAGTATAATTCTTTAGTATTACCCTTCAGTAATATGGAAAAAAATGTGGATGCTTGAGTGGTTAGCATTGGATAGACTTTTTAAAATACATTCATTTGACCCATTTGGAAGGCTGATTAAGAGACCTTCCACTGTTTTCTGGAAGTTTTCAAATCCTTTTCTGTCATGTCATATAAGAGAGGAAAAGCTTAGTATAAAGCACGTATAGGAAAGTCCCAATTTAGCATAGTATTAAACTTTACTCAAGTACTCTTCTTCTTCTCCTCTCCCTTCAAAGGAAGGATCTTACTGATAGGAGTATTTTCAGTTTTGTAAGCCCTGTTCTTTACAGGAAGCAGGATTTAGCAACCTGTGAAGGAACTCAGAGTTGCAGCTATGACTCCAGACATCGGTATTTTGGGAGCTGGGGTGTGGACACAATTCTCCCACTAATTCCATTACTCACAGTTTTCACCTGTATGATTTTGACCAAGCCACTTATACTACCTGGATCTCATTTTCTCATCTGTGTGTCCATAGTGTCAGTCTCAATGATTTCTAAAGTTTCTCCTAGCTCTAATATTATATGATGATAAATGTATAATGTAATGAATTTATAATGTAAAGAATTTTTAGTCCCCAAGGTAGTATGATATACAGATTTCCTCAGGAGTATAGTAGTACTCAAGTACCTTGAGTGGGACTGGGACAAGGGGACATGGTCTCTAAAAATAATTAGGCTTCTAATTAGTTACAGCATGACTCAGTCATCGGTTGAAATGAACTCTGATTTTTTTCCATGAGTTCGTTTTCAGAGAACAGTATACATTAGTTGAGAAGCCCATTTTCTATCAAGCACTATACAAGTCATTGAGGACTCACAGACTTTATATGTGTTCTTTGCCTGTACTAGAAAAGTGTGAAGCAACTAAGGTGGCACATGTGTGTCATATGCTTGGTACATTCTAGGCTCCCAAGTTAAAAAAAAAAACAAAACTGTTATGTATTCATTTTTTAACAGTAAAGCTCTGAGACCGTATGGTAGAGTGGAGGATTTGGTGTCAGGCCAACCTGCTTACTAGCTCTATTACTTTGGACAGGTTCCTTAATCTCTTTGAGCCTTAATTTCTTTATCTGTAAAATGAATGAAGTACCATTAAAAATGTGCCCAGTTTAGTAATTGTTGGTGAATGAATGAACTGTTATTTATAAATAAAAGTGCTACAGACAATTCCAGGCAGAAGAAAAATATATACTAGTGAAAGTTACCTATTTTTATAAAGTGATCAAAGAGAAAACAAAAGTCTGTTATGGATTTCAAAGGTAAAGAATTCATTGAGAAATGGATACCTCTAGTGTCATTCCTACCATGAGAAGTGAGGGCTTAGATGATTAAGTGTAAGTATAAAAGAAGAATGTGAAAAAGTATTATTGATAATTAAGATTAAAGGCACCTTAGAAGTCAGGAAACAGTCAAGCCATGATTATCTCGATCATTTCAGCCCTTCTTCTCTAGCCAGCTGGTGTTTTCCAGATTATATGTTAAATCTTTTAGAGGGTGTGTGTGCACACATCTGTGTGTGTGCATACATGTGTGCACGTGCATGTATGCACTTTTAAAAGTATTTTAGGAATACTATATACCAAGGAGTTACTTTTTCATTCCTTTTGGGAGAAGTTAACTTTCTGTTGCATTACTCTCAGTTCTGAGTACCTGAATCATTTCTCATTTGAAAGGTAGTGGCAGAAATCTGGATGATGAGTTTAAAAATATAATTATTTGTGGCTTTTTAAAAGCTAGATGCTTTTTTTTTTCCTTTTTGTCTTTTTTTGTGACCGGCAACGGATCGCAACCCTCAGTGTCGCGCCCGTACCGGACTGAGACCAGCAACGGGATCGCAACCCTCGGTGTTGTACCCGCACCTCGCTCAGCCAGTGAGCGGCCGGTCTGTACGTGGGATCCGAACCCTCGGCGGGAGCGCTGCCACGCTCCAAAGCGGCGCACTGTAGCAGGGCGCCACCGGGCCGGCCCTAGATGCTTATTTTTGACTAAGATACATGCATTTTTTTCCCCAGTAGTTGCTTCCACCATAAATAGGATGGTGTATGAACAGTGTGGTTTTTGGCCTTTTGGTTTTACTATTTTAAATGTAAAATGTTTTTCCCCCTTATCCCATGTTAAACTTCACAGACTTATTTATGTATGCAGCACTGTCTTTTTCAATATCAGGAACATACCCCATAAAGATGTATTAGGCTATTTCACTTTACTTCTGAATTAATAATGTTGTACAATAGTACAACTATATCACCTAGAAAGTTGTTAATGAATGAAATGTATAATGGTTATATAGTACGTTATATTTAAACTTCATGTAATAGACTCAAGAATTATATCCCCCCTTTAAAAATGCTGGGAAAGAAAGTAGTGGATATTTGGGCACACTAAGAACTCTTGCTTAAGACATACATGCGCGCGCACACGCACGTTAATCTCATCCATTAATTATTGGGAAATGGTTATAAATGTAGTTAGTAGGTCAAATCTTAAGTCATTAATGTGTTTAAATTTTTATAAAATTCATATAATTTACATAAGTGATTAATATTTTATATAACATTTTAATAAGATCTCATTTGAAATTGATTTGTTTACTCATAGCTACATTTATAAGGTAAATAGTTGTTCTCCTCTGCTTTTGAATTTACAGCAAAAGATGATGGAAGCATTGCTGTTGCCCTTGGTTACACTGCACATTTGGTCTCCATGATTTCATTTTTCCTACAAGTGCCCCTCAGATATCCTATAATTCATAAGGGGTCTAGATCAACAATCAAAGATAATATCAATGACAAGCTGACTGAAAAGGAGAGAGAGTAAGTGTCTTTTTTTATACTTTTAAGATCAAGCCAGTATGAAACATAACAAATATTAAAAATATAAAATGTGATGTAAATTTTGGCAACTTTTTTCTAACCTTTGTAAAGTGTTCATTTCTTTTAAATCAAGTGCAGTTATTCATTTAGATTTCAAAGCTTCAACCCCTGTACTTCCAAAAATTGCTAATGATAGCAAAATTGACTCATTTAAGTTTATTTACTTTCCTTTTACTTTTGTGAGGACAAGTGTCATATGCTCTGCAAATATTCATGTAGTACCTATTGCCTGCCACTAACAAATGAAATGGTTAAAAGATTGTCAGAGAGCCAACCAGGAAAAGGATAAAAAGTTTAACAGCAGGGCTGGCCCGGTGGCACACTTGGTAGAGTGCGGCGCTTGGGAGCGCAGCGGCGCTCCCGCCGAGGGTTCGGATCCCATGTGGAGACCGGTTCCCGCTCACTGGCTGAGCGCAGTGCGGACGCAACACCGAGGGTTGCAATCCTGTTGCCGGTCCCTGGTACGGGCGCAACACCGAGGGTTGCGATCCCGTTACCGGTCACGAAAAAAGACAAAAAGGAAAAAGAAAAAATAATAATTCTTCATGGTCAAAACTGTATTCTAAATACAATCCCAAACAATAAGACTGAAATAGTGTTTCATTGCACAATTATAATTTGTTCACAGATAGATAATTGATAATAGATAATATTTTTACTATATTATCTTTCCAATCTAAAAAAATAAATAAATAACTTGTGTAAAGTACTCTCGGACCCCTAGCAAATTCATCAATAAGTACACAAGAATCTGGGACCCCCATGTCAGAAATACATAGCTTAAAAGTGGGTTAGTGAACTGGAAGATAGGTCAATAGAAATATCCTGACCAAACTACAAAGAACAAAAGAGATGGAATGTAGAGAAAAGTGCTAGACATATGTAGGACTCAATACAAATGTCTACTGTATACATAATTGCACTCACAGAGGGTGGAAAGAGCATGGGTTAAACACAATATTTCAAGAGATAATGACAGAATTTTTCAAACTTAACAAAAGACATCAAGCTACAAATTAAAGAAGCACTAAATATAAAACAGAATAATTATAAGGAAAAATACCTAGGGAAATTTAAATAGCTGAAAATCAAAGGCAGTGAAAATATTAAAAGCAGCTAGAAAGACATGTTAGCATCAAAAGATTTATAATAAGACTGAGAGCTGACTTCTCAATAGAAACAATGGGGGCCAGCCCGGTGGTGCACTGGAGAGTGCGCTGCTTGGGAGCACAGCGGCACTCCCGCCGAGGGTTCGGATCCCATATGGAGACTGGTTCCCGCTCACTGGCTGAGCGCAGTGCGGGCGCGACACTAAGGGTTGCAATCCCGTTACTGGCCAGTAAAAAAGACAAAAAGGAAAAAAAAAAAAACAAAAGAAACAAAGAAAGCCAGAAGGTAATGCAATGACATTTTAAAGCACTGAAAGAAAATAACTGCCAGCTTAGAATTCTATACCAAGTGAAAATATCTCTCAAAAGTAAGGACATTCACAAAGACATTTCAGATCATCAAAACTGATAAAATTCATTTCAGTAGACTACACTGAAGGAAATAATAAAGGCAGAATAAAAATAATTTCACACAGAAACATGGAAATGCAAGAAGGAACAAAGAAAGGATAAATATCAGTATATCTAAATTTATTTTGACTAGAAAGGAAATAATAATGTCTTATTAAATATAAGATACATATATAACTGAAAGAAAATAACTGCCAGCTTAGAATTCTATACCAAGTGAAAATATCTCTCAAAAGTAAGGACATTCACAAAGACATTTCAGATCATCAAAACTGATAAAATTCATTTCAGTAGACTACACTGAAGGAAATAATAAAGGCAGAATAAAAATAATTTCACACAGAAACATGGAAATGCAAGAAGGAACAAAGAAAGGATAAATATCAGTATATCTAAATTTATTTTGACTAGAAAGGAAATAATAATGTCTTATTAAATATAAGATACATATATAAAATATATGTAGGATGATAATGTGTGATTCTAACACAAAAGGTGGGAAGGGGCAAATGGAATTGAAGTGCTCTAAGTTCCCACATTGTCTAGAAAGTGGTAAAGATACTAATCTGTATTAGACTCGACCACAACCTCCCTTCCCTCCTTCCTCTTCCTTCTACTTTCTCCCCCAACCCCCAACTGCTCTGCAACAGCACCTTAGAATGTAAATAATAATAAATAAATAAACTAATTTATATTAGACTCTCATAAATGAAGGATGCATGTTGTAATCTCATAAGCACTAAGAGTTGTTTTATATAAGCAAAAAATTAATAAGGTAAAAAATGGAAAAAAATTTAAAATACTTGATTTACTTAAAAGAAGGCAACAAAAGAAAGGAAAATGAACATTAAATAACTGGAACAAACAGAAAACAAACAGTAAGTTTGCCTAAACTTATCCTGTAATTACCTCAAGAGTAAATGATATTAATCTTCTTAAAAATATTGTTATACTGAATAGGAAACTAAACTCATTCTGCTTTCAAGAGACACGTCAAATATAAGGACACAGAAATATTGAAAGTTAAAGAGTGTATAAAGATATATCATGTAAATATTATCCAGATGAGAGCTAATATAACTATGCTAATGTCAAAGTGATGTATTACATTGATTTTCATGTATTAAATCACCCTTGCATTCCTGGAAGAATCCCACTTGGTCATGGTACACCTTTATTATAATCCTTATAATACTGCTGTTAGATTCAGTTTGTTAGTATTTCATTGAGGATTTTTGCATCTATATTTATAAAATACACTCGTGCCACATAATGATGTTTCAGTCAACCACGGACCGCGCGTAAGACATAAGATTATAATGAAGCTGAAAAATTCCTATCACCTAGTGACATTGTAGCCATCATAACATCATAACATGACACATTATGTGTTTGTGGTGATGTTGGTATAAACAAATCCACCATTTAAAAAAAAATCTTTTATACCATATTTTTAATGTACCTTTTCTGTGTTTAGATGTGTTTAGATACACAAATTCTTACCACTGTGTTACAGTTGCCTACAGTATTCAGTACAGTAATATGCTGTACAGCTTTGTAGCCTGGGAACAATAGGTATATAGCCTAGGTATGTAGTAGAATAAACCATCTAGGTTTGTGTAAGAACTCTATGATGTTCACACAACAATGAAATCGCCTAATGATGCATTTCTCAGAACTTAGCCCTGTTATTAAGTGATACATGACAGTATTGGACTGTAGTTTTCTTTTCTTGTGATGTTTTTGTCTGGCTTTGATGTCAGGATAATACTGGCCTCATAAAATGAGTTAGGAAGTGTTCTTTCTTTTTTTAATTTTTGGCAGAGTTTTATGATTTCTGTTAATTCTTCCATTTGGGTTCACCAGTGGAGCCATCTGGTCTTGGACTTTTCTTTGTTGGGAAGTTTTTAAATCACTGATTCAATTTCTTTACTTATTATTAAACATCCATATTTTCTGTATATCCATGGAATATTTTTTCCATCTTTTCACTTTGAACCTATTTGTATCTTTGGATTTAAAGTGAGTCTCTTCTAGGCAGTATATAGTTGAGGCATGCTTTTTTTTTTTTTTTTTTCCCTTTTTGTCTTTTTTTTACTGACCGGTAACGGCCCTTTTTGTCTTTTCTTTACTGACCGGTAACGGGATCGCAACCCTCGGTGTCGTGCCCGTACCGGGGACCGGCAACGGGATCACAACCCTCGGTGTTGCGCCTGCACCGCGCTCAGCCAGTGAGCGGGAACCGGTCTCCACATGGGATCCGAACCCTCGGCGGGAGCGCTGCTGCGCTCCCAAGCGGCGCACTCTCCAGTGCGCCACCGGGCCGGCCCTCGGCCCGCCTTTTTTTTTTTTTTTTTTTTT